GAGGAAGAGTTAAAAGAAGCACTGTCACGGTTCGGAAATATTCGATTGGCAAAAATTTGTCGTTATACAGGTAGCGAGCATTCGAAAGGAACTGCTTTTGTGCATTTCGGTTCAGCTGAAGAAGCGGACGAATGTCTTTTGGGAATTAGAAAGGTAAAATGAAAATTTTTGAATAAATGGGATTTTCCTCAGTTTCTATCATTTTTACCTTAACTATTCAAAAAGTCATTTTTTTACATCTTTATTTTCTTTTTTTTTTTCTCGCCATTCACGCCTACTTCCACATCTTCGTATATTTTGTACTTAACGGAGTACAGCTTTCGGTATCGCGGCCTTAATTGTTACTTTGTTAGACTAGTGTGTGTAAGCGTGTGTGCGTGCGTAAGGTGCCGCGTCCTATATACATATTTATTAATAAAGCGAAAATACATGCTAAAGCGAGAATACAAATCAACGTGATAGGCTCTGGGGAGCTTCGGCTCCCCAGAAGAGGAGTGGGAGCTAAATAAAATAGTTGCAGAGGTCGGTAGATAAAATGAAGGTCCCGGCGTTGGGGAGGAGTGCTCTTATACCTCACGGGACAGAGATCGAAAGTTCAATGAGGGTAGGGCGGTCAAAGTTTGAACCAGGGACAAGGGTACTGCGTCTTAGTAACGCAGTTGATCTTTAACCTATTTTTAACAAAAACCATTAATCATTACTTGATCTATTACATGACACCGGGTACGAAGAAGGTTACCGCAATCCCAGGCTAACCCGGACCCGAATCTTGCTCCGTTGTAACGAGGTACGCTGCAATCAAAGGTTGTGAGTAAAAATTTAATTACAGCTTTACTAAAATATAACAAACAATTGCAAAGAAAACAGCGGCGCAGGGCGGGAATAAAATGGCTGGCAGAGAGCAAGAGTCAGCGGTGCGAACACAGTGCACGCGGTGGCTGAGGAGTAAGCGATAGGGCGGCAGCGGTTGTGAACTGTGCACACACTGTGCACTTGAGTAGGCGCACTGGCTGGCCCTCAGTCTTGCTCACAACTCGCTGCAAAGTACAACGCACACAACAGCAGAGCAAATCACAAAGATCACTGTCTTACCTCCTGCCAATATTGGGGGGAGTCATACATCACACATATTGTCAAAACTTCGTTTTTCAGTGGGTTTTATTAGTTCATTACTAATATCTCCTCTCTGACCTTTGTTATTCAGTTGGTTGTGTAAAATTTATCACTTTTGGTGCTCTCTCGATATACTTTTGTGATTTCAGTATCCTTTTATCACCTTGGATGGTCGACATATTTTCGGTGACCGGGCGCTACCACGATGCGCAATTGCGAAACTCGAAAAGGTAACTGCATTTCTAGAATTTCCAGAAATGATTAAAAGTTTAAACTTCAGTGCTGGATGGGATAGTGCTGACTTGTGGGGGTGATAAAATAGATGATGCTTATGTTTATCATTTGGATGATGGCTGTAGAGTTTTTTCTTAAAAAAAAAAAAAAGGAAGTCGATTTTTTTCGTGTTTTATCCCTGAGCTGTAAACATAACTTTAAACAGAAAGGGAGAATGGAAATAAATGTTTGTCTAGCAGTAATATTTGTGATTATGAACCAGAATTACTAACTTTTTTTGACAAAAATAGCTATACATTGAGTTGTCTGTTTACCAAAAATTTTTTCCATATTTCTAGGAAAAACATGAAACGCAGCGGCAAGATAGAAGAAATCTGTTTTTACTCCGTGCTAGCTATGTACGACCAGATGATGGACCAGACAAGATGAGTGTACAGGATGAGCGGAAACGTGAAGGATTCAGAGCTATTGCAATGCAAAAAATGAAAAATCCTCATATGTAAGTCACAGTCAATGACCCCTAGGACTGGCTCTTCCATTGGAAAATGCTTGGATTATTTGGAACAGCTATGGTTCGTAACTGTGCGGCTAGCAAATTTTCGAATTATTTTGGCCAGTGTTCTATTTATTGCTTGTTGGTCAGCCTTCTGGCAATCCTTACTCTGGCCACTCCACATTTTTTTTTTGCTTTGGACCGTCCACTTGTTTTTTATGCGTTTTTTGCAGCTATGCAATGTGGAAAAC